TGTTGGCGGCCCACCGTAGTCGTGTCCCTTGACATCGAATTTACCTTCGATTCGGTTGATCGATGGGCCCTTTGGTACTATCTACTCAGGAAAGGTGTACCCGAGAAAGATGTACATGATTACTTAAGAGTAGTATTATTGTTACAGGTAGAAATTTATCACATCTTGACTCACTCAGACAGCCATCACACGCCGGGAAAAGCATTGTACGCGCGTTTCATCGTTTTGGGAATCGTCAGCAGTACGCATTACATCGGACCCTGGTAGGGCTCGAACCCGCAACTCGACTGTTGCCATTCCGTGGTTGAGATCACTGAGCTGCGGGGGATGGCAACGACCATCGTAAATAAGTTACTAGATGTGATATAGCGCCTCTCATTATCCACTGATTTCACGTTACTGCCATGCAGAGGACAGGGTATCCCCCTCACCAAGCGACGAGCTTACCAAAATTAAGTTGCCAATTAACTTGTGGCATAATAAACAGTTTGGTCTGCGTAATGATTACAGAAGGGTAGTAGGGGAGTTGAATGTTATAGGTAGAAATTCATCACATCCAGGGTCCGATGCAATGCGCACTGTTGACGACTCCCGAAAGGATGAAACGCGAATGCGGTGCTTTTCCGGGCGTGTGACGGCTGTCTGAGTGAGTCTAGATGTGATGAATTTCTACTTATAAAATATGTACATATTATCCGAGCATTATACGCGCGTAGCATGGGCATGGTAAGAGCTTACGGCAAGCTGTCGTCGCTCTTCAATATCTCCAGCGGTGTGAGACAAGGATGCCCGTTGTCACTGTTCCTCTTCAATTTCGCTTTTGACTAATTACTGGAAATCGCGTTCACAGGACTCGAGTTAGAAGTTGTGGATCTGCTCCAAGGAGAACGATTTGTTGACTTGGAATATGCAGACGATATTGCCCTAATCTGTGACAGCTCGCAAACGGGCCAAGCTGCACTGGACAGATTAACACTGTCCGTCACTTCGGGTTTGGCTTCACACCCTCGAGATTCAAAGCGTTCCTCCAAGATTGGCCTGGACCGCCTCCTACACTGACCCTTGGTGGGGATCAGCTAGAAGTCATACAAAAATTCAACTACCTTGGAAGTTGTATCAGCGCCCGTGGGATTGAAGATCGCGAACCGTATATCAAATGCTTCAAGTGCTTTTGCTATTCTTCGCCACCTGTGGCGGCGGCACGACATCACTCTTGCCCCGAAGGGTAGAGTGTATAATGCAGCGGTACGTTCGACCTTACTGTACGGTTGCGAAACCTGGCCCCTTTGATCAGCGGACATAAAGAGGCTAGATACGTTCGACCATCGGTGGCTTCGCAGTTTGGCTTGCATCTGATGGGAACACCGCGTGAGCAACGAGCGTGTTCGACGCCTTGTTTACGACATAGGAACTGGAACTGAACCGCTCAGCACCGTCATTTCACACGCCAAGCTTCGATGGCTCGGCCACGTGTTGCGCATGCCAGCCCACCGACTCCCGCGACGTGCTTTGTTTGCGCGCCGGGGATGTGAATAGAAGAAGAGGTAGGTGGCCAAGCAATGACTTGGTCGAAAGGAATGAGGGCCCTCACTTCGGAGCTGGCTTTGGTTGAAACTTCACCGCTCCCTGGTTAGGGTTCAAAGGACGATGAACACGTTTGGCTAAACACACTTGCTGACATGGCAAGAAGCCGACCTCAGTGGCGTTCATGCTGCGAGTTTCTTTGTCCTTCTCCATCCCTTTTAGCCTCCCCTCCAACCACGATCTCATTTCGTACCGGATATAATTTTACATCATAATTTTTCTTATTGCCTGGTAGTCATCTGATAGCTTACCGGAACGTTGCCCATCTGTTGCTGGTAGTTCAGCTGGTATACAACTGTTGTGCTTATTTTCTTTTTCTTTTAAGTATTGCGGCACACTAGCTGAGGTTCTTTACACCTCTAGCTAACGTGTGTAACGATGCTGCTGATGCTGATGATGACTACGGTTGTGAAATCTGGCGCCTTAGATCAGCGGACCTAAAGAGGCTGGTTACGTTCGACCACATGTACATTCACACTTTACCTCACATCTGGGGGGAACACCGAGTAAGCAACTAGCGTCTTCGAGGCCTTGTTTACGGCACAGGAAAAGGAACTGAACCGCTCAGCACCGTCATTTCACGCACCGAGCTTCGATGGCTCGGCCACGTGTTGCGCATGCCCGGCAACCGACTCCCGCGACGTGCTTTGTTTGCGCGCGGAGCATGTGGATAGAAAAAGAGGTGGGCGGCCAAGCAATGACTTGGTCGAGAGGAATGAGGGCCCTCACTTCGAAGCTGGCCTCGGTTGGAGCGTCTCGACTCCCTGGTTTGGATCCGAAAGACGATGAACACGTTTGTATGGATACACTTGATGATATGGCTAGGAGCCGACCTCAGTGGCGTTCGTGCTGTGAGTTTATTTGTCCCACCCTATCCCTCTTAGTCTCCTCTTCCCACCGCGATCTCACTGCTTAGCCTTATATACTTTTGCGTAGTAATATTTTTGCTGCATAATAGCCGACTGGTAGCTTACCGGAACGATACCCATCCGTTACCGGTAGCTCAGATGGCTTGCACCTGTTGCATTTTTCATTTATATATTGCGGCACAGTAGCTGAGGTGTTTCCCACCTCTAGCTAACGTGTATACTGATGATACGCGTATCTGCGTTGAGTTGTGATCTCAGTTTGTTGACTTCACTTTACTTGCATAGCCACTGCGTTCGACACAAACAGAGCTGTGTCGTCCGCATATCCAAGGTTCGTCAGTTGGTATTCTAACAGAACTTCCACTCCAGAAGAGCCTTATAGGACTTTTATTAATCATCATTTTGATCACAAACCTGAAGAGGCAAGTTTGGGGATAGTCGCAAGATTGCCTTACCAACGCCACCGGTAGCCATTCACATGCTATCAGTAAGACAGCCTGTGAGTACGACGGAACGAAAGTCGCCAACTTACGCCGGCTCTTGTATCGCTGGTCAGGGCACTTTACCCTTACCGAGCGCAGACCTCTGTGACACCTTCATTTTCATCGGACGACGCTTGGCCTATTCTCACAGATTCTCCTGCTGTAATGCGGATCCGAAACGCAATACAATATTTGATACATCATCGTTTTCTCAGTCCCGACAGCCTCCACCGGTTCTAATCACAGATGACAATAAGGTGCCTTCCAACATGCTCCTATCGCTGTTGACGAACCTTTAGACTCACGAGAAGTCTCTGAACTGATGGGGAAAGTCAGTCCTTGTCCCGATCCACAAGGTAGGCTCCTGTGGAACTTGGTCGATTTCTCTTGCGTGTAAGCTTTTTGTGTCTACCTTCTTCGCAATGTTTCAGTAAGTAGACGGAATTTTTCCCAATGGGGGCAGTTTGGTTTTCGTCCAGATCTGCGTTTCGTTTACCGAATCTTCACGCTCAGTCAATCTCTCGAGCTCCGCACGTTCATCAGCGACCAAAAATCATTGTGTTCTTGGACATTCAAACGGCATTCAACTCAGTAGATAGGTCTGCATTGTGTAGCTGTTTACTAAGGAAAAATATATCCGACAATGTATATCCATTCTGTGGGAACTGTGTACTCACATTCCGTGCAAAACTGAAGCTTATGACAGGCTGTTTTCTCCGTTTGCTGCCACCAACGGCGTTCGCCCATGCTGTTTTCTTTCATCTTCAATTCTGCCATCGAAGATGTCTGACGATGACTAGGTATCCGAAACCACAGTGTTGTGCTTCTCCCTGGAGGTAGCGTCATAGACATGAACTACACCGATGATATTGCTTTGCTGGAGGACAATCCACAGGCCGCTGAAAACAGAATCGCTTAGCGATGGAAGCATCCTGCTATATCATCCTAGCCAAGTGTGAAACATTGCTCCAGGATTGACAGGTGCTTATGGCCGATCTCACCATTGCTGGTGACATTCTGAAATTACACTTGCTTCATTTATTTAGGGATTTGTATCACGGCTGGTGGCGGTGTTGGAGATAAGCTTTCGCAACCGATAGCAAAGACTTGTCTTGACACTTATGGCGTCGTCATGGGGTCATTCTCAGGCTCGCGGGCGGGTTGCCCAGTGCTTTCATACTTGCAGCCCTATTGTACTGCTGAGTGAACCGTCCTGTTCGCTTGTAGAACAAAAAACAATAGTCCTTTTTGACAACCTTTGCTTGCGTGGAATTGCTCGCGTATGAGGGCAGCATTACGTAAGCAATACTGAAGATTGTAGCAGAGTGCTTGGAGTGAACAGTCCCTGTTTCCAAACGTTTTTCTCCGTTGCCATATGCGTTTGTTTTGCCACGTATTACTAACGCCATCTTATTGCCTTTCATCTAGAGCATTGTTTGGGTTTTTCGGAAGAGACTGGAAGATGTGCCACTTTGGGCAGTAGCGTGGGAAATGTGCATGAAGAAAGAGGATATCTAAAGCGAGATGGCTCGTAGTTCGTCCCACTGTCATCCTATATACTCGGGTACTAAATGATTGGAACTTGTCCATGCTTAGACTGAAGAAAGTTTCAAGCAGTTTTTGGACTCGCAGCTGCATAATATGCCCGAACCGTACTGTTTTGATGTGGCTGACTACGCGCCCTCAGGAATGCCCTATCGCAAAGTCATGCATGCTCGTTGTGTCGAACTGGAGGCAACATGGCGTTTGCCTTCTGCAATCCTATGAACTGATATTGTTAACCTACTGGTATCTTCCCCTTAACATTGCCTGATTTACGACCTTGATGTAATACACTAGTAAGCGTCCAACAAGTAAGATGTCATCGAGGCTCACTCACAAGGCGATTGTTGTTTCACCCTCTCTACCCTTACATTTCGTTTTTCGTATTATTGGAGTAGCCATCTTCCCTGCTTATTTGCGCCACCTATTCACTTCTGGCTCGGTCCTCCATGATCTCCGCTTCTAACTAGACGGTTGTGTTGAAACTGTCCAACTGCCTACGAACTATATGTTTTGCCTTTCAGCCGCTAGATTTATTCCAAACTACATAAGTATCGGACACGGAAGCCCTCGGAATCCTCAACTGACGCACTCCCGATTGGTTATTCTTTCGCTTTGGATCATCTATCTGAACCTCATGGAAAATTTTGTTTTATATGACGAAATAGGAAAAGTGAACGATCAAATTATTTATAAAGCTAGACGAAAGGGGACAATCAAATATTTGTCGATCAGTTGCGCAGAGCGAAAATTGCGCAGTTTTGTGTCCAATCATGTTCGCTTTGTGCACGTACTGAAGCACCCCAATGTAGTCCAGTTTTATGAGTGGTACGAAACCAGCAATCACTTATGGCTTGTGATGGAGCTATGTATTGGCGGTAGCCTTGAACAAGTCATAAAAGAGGAAGGTTTCTTACCGGAAAATGTGGTGCGCAAATTTGGTGCCGATGTTATTCGTGGTTTGGAATACATTCATTCTCGTGGCGTGCTATTTGATGAAATGAAACCATCTCGAGTAAGTTTGCATTTTCTCCATGTCATCCGCACAGTTCCTCTTGGATGGGCATGGGAATGTGAAGTTATTTGACTTCTCATATGCACATGTTGAAAACGAGTCTCTGGAAGACGTTCTGCATCGCTTCAGTGAAGAAGACGAAGTTGACCACGGTCATACCCTTGAGTACCGCAATACATCAGTTTTCACGGCTCCGGAGACGTTGAAGTCTGGCTTGGTTTCCGTTCTCTCAGACTACTGGGGCCTCGGGTGCCTACTGTATTATATGTGCTGTGGATACTTACCGTTTGGTGGTAGCACTTCAAGTGAAGTATGTGAGCTTTTGCATTATTAGTTATGTACAGTTTCACCAAATGTGATTTCGTTTTCACTCTTATGGTTATGATTGTTCAGCATAACACGAGTGACCTGAAGTGATTGTTGGAGCGCTCTGAGTGACCGTTTCTTTTTCTTCTGGCCGTCCCACTGGGAAGCATTTTGGACGATTTTTCCACTACATCCTTAACATATACCGCGAATGCATTATTTCCGGTCTTGGAGAAATTGATTCCAAAGTCCTCAAGACATGGTACTGAAGATATAAAGCCACACACAAAATTGAGTCACCGAAATTTGTCCTAAAAGTGTCTCGCTGAAACTCCCAGGGACACAAAAAGGGTCGCTCGCGTTGATTGGATGTACGATTTTATTCAATAAAAATAACTTAAAAGTAAAGATCGGTGGTGTTGACGATGCGTGATAATATTTATCATTTGAACATTTTACGCCGTTTGTTACCTTTTTCTCTGAGAACAACTGAGTAACCGTCCAAATGGGACGGATGGTCGTCCACCAGTGCCGACATGGATGTTATCGAATAGCTATTTCCAAGAGGCCGAAACAACGTGAAATTATGTTGCTCGTTCTGTTTGATAGTTAAGGAAGTGTTGTCCAAACGGTTTTCCTTAATCTATTCCTTCGATGGCCATTTTCGATCACTTGTTCAAGGTTGCTCTTCCGCTTCCTTGGACCACCCCAGACTCACTCCTTTCGAATCTACTTTCGATCTGTGGTTGTCTTTTCATTCACTACTTCAGCTGGCTTTCTTGCCGGTACAACAGTTAAATCTAACGGCGATCAATTGGTTTTCCATTATGATTGATGCACAGTCTGATATAAGGTTCATTGCAGTTGCCCCAATCGTCCTCCTCACTAGGCCTGGGTATCCTGTCTAGGCAATACAATGAAAACCTCTTCACACCATTTGTTGATGTTCTGACCATCATAGAGAATAATCAACGGCGTCCTGTCTGCTGCATCGAGCGGGGTAGATAGAAGTGGCGATGCTACTGCTCAGGGCTTCTTGTCTTTTTATTTCCCCTCTTGCCCTTCTACATCCTTATCGTCCCCTTCCAACTTCACTTTTGTCCACTCGTTTTCAACTTCCCAATTCTGGATCCTCCCTTATCTTGCTTCGATAATCATTTGTCTTCTCATTTCGACTCACATGCAATCACACGGCGTGAACAAATCCATGTTTAATCAAGCAGACAACGTAAGTTCATCCATTCCTATTTGGAATCGTCGATCCTCACTAGGACTGAGATGGCTCAACCTGAGAACTTGTTACAACTCGGTAAACATGCAGCACACTGGAACAGAAAGCTTAGCCATTTCAAGCAGTTTCCAGCGACGCTGCTGAGACCCCCCAAAACGTAGAGCGACCTTGTCACACACGAGCGCTTGATGCGATGTGAAGTCAGTACTCGAGATTGATTAGCAATCTTATATGCAACTCCGCCAGCGGTAACTGATGGTCATGTGGTCAATTTGTGTCCACGGTTTGCTAGATGAAAGGTGTCATTAGGTTGAGGTTTGACGCCTGTTATCGGCACTAAGCCGAAGTAGATGTTCACCGCTGCGGTTCTGTGAGTATATATAATGTATTTGTCAACTACTTCGTATTTAAGTTCCCTGCAAGCATAACAATATTCGTATAGCGGTTTTTTCTAAAATTGTCGGGGAATTAACGATGGAGCTCGTCTTTAACTGCCTCAGGGCTGTATTCTATGATAAATATGGTTGGCGGCATCCGGTTTCGGATTTGCCTGTCACTGTAGCAAGCCACAGGACGCCTGCGCCTACAGAGGGACCATGGGTGGCTTGCGCTGCACCACCCACAGCTCCAACCACACACCCCATATCCAGTGTAAACCCGAAGGAATAAGACCGGGAGGCATGCGGATGGGAACCACGTTTCATCAACGGAGCCGGCCCACACTCCTTCACAGGCAAACGCAAGCACACTGTATTTGGGGAATCAAGCGCACACAAGGCGGTGGCTGGACCGTAGTCCGTTCTACACTGAGTGCATGGAACCACTCTTCGAGCCTAGCACGGCCACAAGGACCGTGAACCCCGTCCCCTCCAGCAACGACCAACTGTCTCCTGGAGCCAGTATGGACGAGGTAGTGGGTAATAGACAGGTAGGCACCTAGACAACATGCGCATCAAGCGCAGCCACATCGGGGATATCAAGCAACAGCCAATCACTTGAAACGATAAACTAAACTAAAATAAATCCAATAATGCATACAGATACGGTGGCATAACTCTTCGCTAAGTTAGCATATGAAGTAATTTGGTTAGCAATGAATCCGCGATAAGGAAAAAATGTCCAAAAGTTACTCAAAAATGCTACAAACGCAACAAAACTACCGAAGATAAGCGCAATTAGCGTAAATAACGTGGCTAGCCAATAGAAGATTACCAGATAGGCAAAACAAACCAAATAAACTGGAATGAAATTTAGCCAGCTTAAAGAGACCTAGTTTAAGTGTAAGTTGGTTTAGCCCAACTGCGGTGAAAAGGCATCAAGAATGCAACATCAGCCTCAGCATGGGGCACACATACATACATGGTTGGCGGCATCCGTTCACCCCGTCCCCTCCAGCAACGACCAACTGTCTCCTGGAGCCAGTATGAACGAGGTAGTGGGTAATAGACAGGTAGGCACCTTGTCAACCTACACATCAAGCGCAACCATACCAGGGATATCAAGCAACAGCCAATCACTTAAAACGATAAAATAAAATAAAATAAATCCAATAATGCATACAGATACGGTGGCATAACTCTTCGCTAAATTACCATGTGAAGTAATTTGGTTAGCAACAAATCCGTGATAAGTAAGAAATGTCCACAAGTTACTTAAAATGCTACAAACGCAACAAAATTACCGAAGATAAGCGCAGTTAGTGGAAGCAACGTGGCCAGTTAATAGAACATTATTCAGGGAGGCAGAACAAACCAAATAAAGCGGAATGAAATTTATCCAGCTTAAAAAGACCTAGTTTAAGTGTAAGTTGGTTTAGCCCAACTGCGGTGAAGAAGCATCAAGAATGCAACATCAGCCTCAGCATGGGGCACACATGGTTGGCGGCATCCGGTTTCGGATTTGCCTGTCACTGTAGCAAGCCACAGGACGCCTGCGCCTACAGAGGGACCATGGGTGGCTTGCGCTGCACCACCCACAGCTCCAACCACACACCCCATATCCAGTGTAAACCCGAAGGAATAAGACCGGGAGGCATGCGGATGGGAACCACGTTTCATCAACGGAGCCGGCCCACACTCCTTCACAGGCAAACGCAAGCACACTGTATTTGGGGAATCAAGCGCACACAAGGCGGTGGCTGGACCGTAGTCCGTTCTACACTGAGTGCATGGAACCACTCTTCGAGCCTAGCACGGCCACAAGGACCGTGCACCCCGTCCCCCCAGCAACGACCAACTGTCTCCTGGAGCCAGTATGGACGAGGTAGTGGGTAATAGACAGGTAGGCACCTAGACAACATGCACATCAAGCGCAGCCACACCGGGGATAGCACGCAACAGCCAATCACTTGAAACGTCAAAATGAAATAACATAAATCCAATAATGCATACAGATACGGTGGCATAACTCTTCGCTAAGTTAGCATATGAAGTAAGTTGGTTAGCAACAAATCCGCGATAAAGAAAAAATGTCCACAAGTTAGTTAAAATGCTACAAAACGCAACAGAGTTACCGAAGATAAGCGCAATTAATGTAAGCAACGTGGCCAGTTAATAGAAGAGTGTCCAGGTAGGCAGAACAAACCAAATAAAGTGGAATGAAATTTAGCCAGCTTAAAGAGACCTAGTTTAAGTGTAAGTTGGTTTAGCCCAACTGTGGAGAAGAAGCATCAAGAATGCAACATCAGCCTCGGCATGGGGCAATATATATATATATATATATATGTATATATATATATATGCAACAGCCTAAGAATAGGGATGGAACCATCAAAAAGCATGGAACTCAAAGGGAGGTACAGTTATCGTTAAAAAAACAACACGGAGCTTTGCATGGTTTCATCAAAAGACGAGGTACTAACAGGTTACCCAAGCTGAATTGGGGTGTTGCCTTAGGGGACACCACCCCGAGCCTTTAGCCGATTGGCCTGCCCGCAAGTCAACAGAGCAAATCCAAGGAATCGCGCCCATTGGGAGCTGGTGACTGATTGTCCAGTTCTTACGCCTTTCGTTTGTTCGTTTGCCAAACAGGGACCCAATGGTCCTCGCGATTGCAGCATTAAGTTGCTTCGCTAGTATGCAGCAAGGGGCAGTGAATTTATTTAGTGGCGAGTCACATCCGCTACGTAGCAGTGTTGTTAAACGGACATATCTGGCTTTATGTAGGGAGCTCGCTTGCCAGGCGAAAATCCACCACGTCCTGCAACACTACCACCGAACCATTTGCTGGAACGGGATAATCCCTAACCACCCAGTTGGCACCACGAGGTTGTTCGGTAAGCCAATCCATTCTGTGAAAGCATACGTTTCTACTGCAACCAAGCAACGTCTGCTGGATCTGCGGCCTGACTGTTGCACTAAGGTTACAAGTGGGATCGTGCAGTGTCTACCGTTGACAAGGATCCAGTTTAGCAGCGCGGCCTCAGCACGTTTTCCAAACGCAATTCTCACGTCGGCAAGGACAGCGGCTTCGGCGATTGCGTCTCCAAATAATAATCGCATTGTGAAAATGCCAGCGAAATTCGCAGACGGTAAATCAATTTTTATGTCATTCTGGAGTTCTGTGATCGGGTTTCATTAAAGCAACACATCAGTAGCAGTAGTCTGGCGCGCAATTACAGGCTGCCTGTGATCCGTGCTGCATCAGCATCCGATCATTAAAGGTTGCCAGCTTGAGTCGGGAACAGAGCGCTGGAACTGGCCTTCCAATACAACTTGGCGGTGCACCCTAAGACATATAAGTACCTGATCCGTATGACGAAAACACTCGCCCAA